GTCAACACCGGCAGTGTCAACACCGGCAGTGTCAACACCGGCAGTGTCAACACCGGCAGTGTCAACACCAGCAGTGTCAACACCAGCAGTGTCAACACCAGCAGTGTCAACACCAGCAGTGTCAACACCTAATTCTCATCGAGTGACTGCTCCCCACCCCGCCATCACGTTGTCGGATATCTCGCACGAAGAAGCGTCTCGCTCGGCCATGCAGTACGCAGCGGTCCTCCGCGACTGGGCTTTACGCAAAGCAGCCCCAGAAGAAGTGGAGAAGGCGCCGTGCACGTCAGAAGTGGCTCTGGATCTGCGGAAACGGAGCCGAGTCGAGGAGGGTGGATGTTCTGAGGGGAAGAGGGGTAAGTTTCATGATACGTGCGTAGCCGATTAACAGAGTCCCTCTCCTCTGTTCATTTGCTCTTTTGTGGAGCGTTGCTACGGTTGCAAAGACGTGTGCGTGTCGGTGGAAGGGCCGCGAAGGTAGCAGGGTTAAGGTGATCAGACGGTACGTGGCGGCGCTTGTGATGACTCGGCAGTGGGTATGGCAGCTGCTTGGTATGGGGTAGTCGTCATGTGAATGAACTGCGGCCAGTTGGTCCGTCTGTGTGTACTTATACGGATGTACGACGGCAGACCCATGGTTGATGAGAGTACGTGTTGATGGCATCTGAGAGTACGTGCCTAGGTCCGCAGAGTGCGAATCATGGCCGCTGACTGGTGTTTGATTAGCGAAGGAACCGGTGGCAGGAGGCCGGACTACGAGAACGAGGTGGGCCCGTCTAACTCGCTTTCCCATCCAACCAGATGTTGGTGGTGGCCGGAGGTGGGCGTCAAAGAGTTTCGAACCCTCGACTTGTGTATCTCTCTCTCTCTCTCTCTATCTCTCTCGACCTGATTTTTATTTATCTCTGCCCATGAAATGCAATACCCGCAGGAGGAGGGAGGTATCAGTGCCAGTATGTGTGAATTTTCTGAGTGTTGGTGGACTAGGAGATTGTCGCATCCCGGCGGAGCAAAGTGGCATCAAATATGAGTGCTTGAGCCGGCCGGACTTTGCTACAAGGTTCACAGAGGTGGAAACAGGTTTTACCGTGGATAGCTGTATCCGGGAAGCTCAAGAAGCCGTTGCTGACATAATGCGAAATTGTTTCAGCCGACGGTTTCAGGAGGCGGTGCCTGAGGTGGACCCTGGGAACTTGCTGATGCTGATGGATACTCTTGAAGACGTGACGAAGGGAGTACCGCAAAGGTCACGTGCCTGGTGTTCTTGGGGCTGGGCGAGAGTGGCGGGAGAGCTGTATGACAGACTTCATGGTCCTAAAATGCGGGAACTGCTCGACCGTTGCGCACTCGTCTCCAAGCGGCCCCCAGGATTGACCGATCAGTGGTACTTGGCGAAACTCCTCCAGGGCAGCGAACGGCGGAGTAAGATCCGGTGGTGGATGGGTTGTATGAACGCTCAGCTCGACGACAGCATTCACAGTACAATGGTTCTGTGCGACAGGGTGTTGGGTCCTCACTTTGTTCGGTTCCCGGTAACAACCGAGTCGGAACGACGGGTCATCTACTCAATAACTCAAGTTGTGAGCTGGTTGATCGGCATGAAGACTCAGTCAGGCGTGCTCAAGAAGGTATCCGACACTTGCAAGTGGACCCGAAACGACCATTTCGCTATTCCTCTAACCACCTTTCTTCGGGACCTATGGGGACCCGAACGGTTTAGGAGAATCGCCCAACTTGCAAGAAGGCTGCTTCACACCGTAAAAGCTAACATGTCGGACGAATGCTTGCTTAGCCGTTTCCTCGGAGCCGTTTCCGCGTGTGCTACGTGTCGAATGCAGTCGTTTTGCTCGAGAATTGGCTTTGATTCGAACACTCGAGATTCGAACCCACTAGATTCGAACCCTCAGCGCTCACACACTGAGGATTCGAGCCTTCGAGATTCGAACGAGGCGGCAAATGTCGATTGCGCAGATCCGTCTTCCCCACTTGCCGCAGGTCCGTCTTCCCCACTTGCGGCAGATCCGTCTTCCCCACTTGCCGCAGATCCGTCTTCCCCACTTACCGCAGATCCGTCTTCCCCACTCGCCGGTAATCGATCGGCTTGTGAAGATACATCGGCTTGCGACCGCGGCGCCCCCTTGGACGTCGTGCAAACCTTGGTAGAAGAAGCTCAGCAAATTGTTGTCCAGGTAATCCAAGATTGTGGCCAGCAGGATGTTACTCTCTTGCCCAAAACGTCGTCGGCTCCCACACCAGCCAGTTTAGAAAGGGCTATGTCCTACCTTGAAAATAGGATCCTGAAGCCTTGCAAGCTTCCTGTAGGTTGGGGAAAAACTCATTACTGCGGATGGGAGAGGGCCAACATGGCTGGCGAATTATATAAAAAAATGGATCGCAACAGAATGCTTGCACTTCTTAAAAGGTGCGACGCAGCTATCGGTCGCCCCGAAGGAATCACTGATCAATGGTTCTTGGCGAAACTTTTGCAGAGATTCGCATGTGCCAAGTCAATGCCAATAATGGCCAAATATCTTCACATCAAGCTTGGCAACAGTAAACCTGGCAGTAGTAAACCTGGCGGTAGTAAACCTGGCAGTAGTAAACCTGGCGGTAGTAAACCTTTCAATATTTATGACATCGTAATGGCTCGTCATTTCACTGAATTGCCTGAGACGACCGAGTCTGATAAGCTGAGGATCTGGACAATGTGTCAAATTGTTGGTTGGATGTTAAAGACAAAGCTACGCGAGCCCTTCACTTCGGTGGCAGTACAAAAGTGGACTGTCATCGACGGTGAATTCATTGAACTGACAGCATTTCTTTTCAAACTGTGGGGCCCTGAACGCTTTAGGACCGTAACAAACCTTGCCAGGACCCTCCTCCCTGTAAACGTTGTCGCCATGTCCGATGCCTGCTTCTTGGCATGTTTCCTTCATAGTGTACTGGAAAGAGTTCGGTCAGCGAAAAAGTGCTGGTTTGAGCACGTTGGATTCCACTACGCTGGTCACGAGGACTGGCACCCAGTTGAAAAAGAAGGCCCCGACTTTTTCGGACGACTACCAGTCAATTGGGACCAGAGGGCAGTGTCAACAACGGCATCTCACCAAGTACATTCCGTCTTTACGCTGTCGGAGATCTCCCACAAAGAAGCGTCTCGCTCAGCCATGCAGTACGCAACGGCCCTTCACAATCGGACTTTACAGGAGGTGGAGAAGATTCTCTGTGCGTCCTACGCCGCTCTGGATCTACGGAAACGGACCGGAGCCGAGGTCGAGGATGACGAATGTCCTGAGGGAAAGCGAACCAAGTTTCACGATACCTGCATAGCCGTTTAGCGGGGTTACTTGTCCCCACGCTCATTCGCCCCTTTATTTCGGTTCCTTCACACGCCCGTAAAAAACCGTCCGTAAAACGCATGTTGCCCTTGGCATCTTGTGATCCGTTTTTAGGTTCTCTTTCGTTCAGGATTCATTTCTTCCTGTGTCTGTGATCCGCTCGATCGCGCCCCTCTTTCTCGGACGGCCTTCATGATGTCAGTGGAGAACGAATTCCTTAAGTTGGCATCTAAGCCGTGACGAATTATCCGTGAGGGTCGCATCAGGTATGGCAACTTCCCGCTCCGTTGCCTACACCTCCAGTGGCCCTGCCTAGTGGTCGTCTGCCGGGAGGTTTGTGGTCGAGTGGATTAATCACGGTTCTGGAATTTGTTTTTGAGTGTGTGTCAGGCCTCATTTCCGGCCTCATTTCCAGGCCTCATTTCCAGGCCTCATACACGAATTATTTTTATGAAAAGCAACGCGGGTGGGAGGCGGTTGACGTCGACGCCAGTTGGGGTTATTTTGCTTAATGGTTTCAGTAGCAAATTAGGAGGCATGTCATCTTTCATCCCTACCCGGAATGGCGCTGAAGGTGGGAGTCTACGATATTTTGTCGGAGACGACCGAGTCGATGAAAGCCGCAGAACGGTGCCCGTGGATAGTAGTGTTCACGAGGCTATTGCTGATGTGGTGCGAGATTGTTTCAGCCAAGGGTTTCAGGAGTCTCGAAAGCTCGACCCTCAGAAATTGACGGCGCTGATGGATAATCTGGAACGTACGATCCCAAATGACGTGCCCCAAAGGCTTTGGTGTTCTTGGGACTGGGCCAGAGTGGCGGGAGAGTTGTATGATAAACTGGACCGGCGTAGAATGCTTGCGCTGCTAGATCGTTGCGCGCGCACAGTAATTCGACCCCCAGGAATGACCGACCAATGGTACTTGGCGAAGCTTCTACAGAGCAGCCGACGCCGTAAGTGTATGTGGTGGATGGATGCCATAGGAGCTAAACATGATGAAGGTCTCAACAATGGGCTGGTCCTCCACGACTTGGCCATGGCCCATCACTTCATTCGATTTCCTGCAACGACGGAGTCGGAACGACGGGTAGTCTACTCTATTGCCCAAGTTGTAAAATGGTTGTTGGATATTAAAACTGAAACGGATAGGCTCGGGCGGAACAGAGAAATCACCCTGTCCCAGAAGAACCCTTTCGCAAACCAACTAACCACCTTTCTACGGGACCTATGGGGACCCGAAAGGTTTAAGAGGATAGTTCAACTTGCAAGGAGACTCCTTCACACCGTAGAAGCTCCGGCGGACATGTCGGACGCCATGTTCTTTAGTCGTTTTCTTGGATCCGTTTCAAGTAGGCTTCATTGTCTGGCGCCGTTTTATGCGAGAATTGGATTTCACATTAATCGTCAAAATTGGAAGCCTCGAGATTCGAACATCCAAGATTCGGACCATCAACTTTCGAACGAGACGTGCATAGTTGAAGACCAAAAGACCGACAACCTCCAACGCCAGCCGGTCAGTACTCCCGGACCACGGGGCACCTTTGGCGGCTTCCTGCATGCCGACTGCGCGGGCACGCCTTCACCCCTCGGAAGTAATTGCGACGGCGGCGCCCTCAACATCGTACAACCCTTGGACGCCGCGCAACCCTTGGACGTCGCGCAACCCTTGGACGTCGTGCAACCCTTGGACGCCGCGCAACCCTTGGATGCCAGTATCGAAGAAGCTCAACAATTTCTTGTTGGCGTAATACAAGATGGTTGCAAACGGGATTTTGGCAATGGTCAAGTTTTGTCCCCGGCACCAGAAAGCTTGAGCAAGGCTATGGAGTGCCTTACCCGGGTGGTAGTGAGTGCTTGCAACAAACCTATAGGCCGAGACACAAGATTTTGCTCATGGGATAGGGCCAGAGTGGCTGGAGAGCTATACAGCAAACTTGATCGTAGCAGAATGCAGATGCTTCTGGCGAAGTGCGAGGCAGTTCTCGGTCGGCCTGCCGGGATAACTGACCAGTGGTTCTTGGCCAAAGTATTGCAGAGATTTGCACCTACCCGATGGATGGCGACGGTTGCTAAGTGTCTTGGTGTTACGCTACAAGGCGGCAATAGACAATTTAGGATTCAGGACGTCGCTATGGCTCGTCATTTCACCGGCCTACCGGACACGACGGAATCTGAAAAGCGGATAATCTGGTCAGTGTGTCAAATTGTAACCTGGATGGTCAAGACAAAACTACAGGAACCTGATTTCGCATTGATCACAGCCAGATCCGAATACTACTGGACTATGATCGACACTTATTCCGTCGAATTGACCGCCTTTCTTTACAAACTTTGGGGCCCTGAACGCTTTAGAAGCGTAGCAAACCTTGCCAGGATGCTCCTTCCTGCGCGTGCCGCCGCCATGTCCGATGCCTGCTTCTTGGGGTGTTTCCTTCGCGGCGCGTTTGTAGCAGCTCGGACGGCGAAGCAGTCGTTGCGTGAGCACATTGGGTTCTGCTACGCTGGACCCGAAAACCGGCATGCAGCTAGAGGTGAAGGCCCGTGCTTTTTCGGACGACTACCCCTCAATTGGAACCGGGAAGCTTCCGATCCCAGAACGGAATCTGACATTGCCCCAACCGATCCCGTTACCATCTCAAAGACAAAGCCACGTGCGGCAGCCGGTCTCACAGTTGTTGCCACGCCAGCGCCTCCGTCAGCACCCCATCCGGTAACGTCAGCACCCCACCCGGTAACGCCAGCATCCCACCCGGTAACGTCAGCACTCCACCCGGTAGTGTCAGCACCCCACCCGGTAGTGTCAGCACCCCACCCGGTAGTGTCAGCACCCCACCCGGTAGTGTCA